CATTTTACTCAACTACGCTACAGGATTCCAAGGTTTTTGAGCCGACAAAAATCACCATCGCTCAAATCTACGTGGCGCAAGCGCATACGAACTCAGCTTCGTTTTATAAGGAAACGAACGTTACACTGGTTTCTGCAGCTAATAAAATTGTACAGTACCGTAAAATAGGAATCCATCCAACGAATTTGAGCTGCTTATGGTTTTCCAGAAAACAAACCGAAATAAGGCCCGCCATTTAGGCGTATTTTTACGCCATATCTGAATTAAGACAAAGACAGCCAAATTTCTAAGGACACTTGTATCGTAATATGAAAACAGTTAACCTAATATAGGTGCAGCCCGGCAATTGTGTTAACTAACTTACAAAATATTGTTTCCTGCCATTTGTATTTTTGTTTTACATATACCTATGGTTACGGAAAATTTTAATGGGGAATGGGCCAGCTTAAAAAAACCGGCATTATTCAATATATCGGTAATAAGCCGAGAGGTGATCAAGGGTTGGGGGTGGTGGTCACTTTTTTATCGCTTATTACCTCCTTCCAAAGTATTCAGCAACCGATATCTTTAAGGGATTGTTTTTGGAAACTGTAGAGTGGCCAAAAACTCAAGGCGCCTTCAAAACAAATTCTCTCTCTCATAGACTTGTACCTACAGAGCTGTATGTTACAAGGTGCCCGCTAAAATATTATTATGTCTTTGCCTAGCGCACAATTCAGAGTAACCGCCAATTGATATTTTTCTTGAATGAAGAACTGAATGCCTTGACCAACTTTAATGTCAACAGGGATGTCTATTGCATAGACGGGAAGATAGAAGTGCCAGACTAAAGAAAAGAAGCCTTACAAAGCTATGGCAAAAAAAGTTATGCTTGCCTTTAAATTTTGTTGGAGCATAACATCAGGGGTTTATTCTGTAAATAAACAAGCTAGAGTTAGCATCCGGTACACTTTGAGTTTGTGTCACAAACGAAAATTTCTAATGTTTCGTCGCTGCTTGGCGGGAGTGCAAGTGAGGTAACCGTAAAATTATTCGACAGTGCGAAATTCAAATTTTAAAGGTCACACAAGAGTTGGGCGCATGGTGTGTTGTCAGGTGTATTACGTTGCACGCCTAGTTGGGACAGTCTTATCACTTTTGGGTTAGAGTGACCACGGAATTTTTGTCAAATTTTAAGTGGAAGGAAGGATTTTACGGTAGATGGGTCGTGCTGCATTTTTAAAAAGGTCTGCTCTGATTGTGATCTCACTGCAATTTGAAACATGGTCTCACCCTCGAATATTTAAGTGCAAATGTGCAATAGGTGCTGGACACATACTCTGTAGGACAAACAAGTAAAAGTTAAATAATTATTTATTTGTTGACGACTGGCCTACAGTAATTTATTGTAAAAACGGCACCAACCTGGCTGCATATTGTACTAATTTAAAAAGTCCGGGGGCCTTTTAAATTAGTACAATATCAAATAGATTCAATGTTTTCAAATTACAATTCATGTTTATTTAGATAATGTAGCAGTATAATCATTTTTTCGGGCGTCGATTTAAGTACATCAGGCTTTCCAGCCGGTAGTGCTCGACGTGACCGATCAGTGCTCGCTGTGAAATCGGAGTCTAGGGTGCTTCGAACAAACCTTAGGTTCGAAAGTTGCAGATTCGTAAATTAAAGAAGTGCCGCTACCTCAAATATGATCGTGTTAGGCAAGAGGTAAAATTCTCCTCTCCAATTTCCACTTATTAACGAATAAGGAAATCTCCTGCCAGGTACCTGACGTCAAACTTTGTCAATAATGTCCCCATGCCGGACACCTGTAATTTTGTTCCGGCAATAATGTCCCCCATGCCGGACACCTGTAATTTTGTTCCGGCAATAATGTCCCCCATGCCGGACACCTGTAATTTTGTTCCGGCAATAATGTCCCCCATGCCGGATACCTGTAATTTCGTTCCGGCAATAATGTCCCCCATGCCGGACAGTAGTAATTCCGTTCCGGCAATAATGTCCCCCATGCCGGACACTAGTAATTTCGTTCCGGCAATAATGTCCCCCATGCCGGACACTAGTAATTCCGTTCCGGCAATAATTTCCCCCATGCCGGACACCTGTAATTTCATTCCGGCAATAATGTCCCCCATGCCGGACACTAGTAATTTCGTTACGGCAATAATGTCCCCCATGCCGGACACTAGTAATTTCGTTTTTGCAATAATGTCTATACGGTTTTTGATGTCCCTCATCTGTTCCGGACTGGTAACGCTGTGGTAACGCTGGTGGCAGTTTTTCAAAGGTCACCGTTCGAGCTGAAAATCAGGTTTCCGTTTTAGGTCCCCCAAGTTACCATTCTGACCAAAGGGTTACCATTTTGGAGGTGGTGGCAGGGGGGACACGGCAAAAATGTCCGGGGGGACAGGGGGGACATACGCATCCGCTACGTAACTCGTGAAGATCCGTGCACATTAGGCGTCTTGTACTGTAATTCGGTATCTCGTGGCTGCCTCCGCGCCGCAGAGTTTACGGAACAAATTGTTTTAATACGCAGGTATCAGTAGTGATGGAAAAACTAAAATTATCCGACTAATTAGTCGGTTAACTACGGTTAACCTGGCTAAAACTAAAACAATTAGTTTAACAATTTTAGGTAACTAAAAAAAATAGTCAAGAACTGTTAGCTGACTAAATGTTTTAACCGAGTCAGTTTTAGCTACCAAAACTTGATGGTTAACCGAGGTTAACCAGTTTTATTTATTGGTCTTTTTTTCAATGAAATTATGGCAAAATTACCGTATTTTGCTCAAGTACGGAACTGCATTCAACCTCCACCTGGTCGGACGGGTCTTTCGCAGTTGCAGAGGGCATATAGCAAGCGGCTGTATGCGTATACGGGCCGGGGCGGTTGACAGTGCGGCATTCAGCCTAACCGGCCTTCACAAGCTACCATTAACCACCGTCGTTACGGCCTGTTTTTATTAATTTTACTGTCGCAATTTATTTCCATAACATTAACGGGTAATTGTACGGGTAATGCTGTGAAATTTGTGACTTTATTGACTTGACTTCTGACTTTAAGCTCCAGCTTGTGTTTTACGGAAGGTTGGTAAATGCCGATACTTGAGTAGGCAACATTAGTATCGTGATCTGGGTACATAAAACCGTATGAATATAAAATCATATATGAAAAACACTTCAAATTATAGTTGTCAGTTTCGGTTAACTTTGGTTAACCGACTAAGAATTTTAACCAAGCCACTTTTAGTTGCTATAAGTTTTAGCCAAGAAATAATAATTTGGTTGACTAAAAGTTTTAACCAAGCCGATTTAGACGGCTAAAGCTTTTAACCAAGTTTTTAGTTAACCGAAATTAGTTTAGTTTTTCCATCACTAGGTATCAGTGCTCTTCATTGGTATGTGTAACGTGTCGTTTCATTTGTAAAGGTCAGTTATTTGTTAATTTTTGCGTGTTTTTGTTGTTAATGTACTTGCGTTCGAAATGTACGTACCATTTGCGAACGCGAGTTGTTTAAAAAGCACCGGAAGAAGCACATCGAGAGCATAGTATTTACAGAGCAGCGTCCATTCTGTTTTCTTGAATTTATTACTGATTTTGCTTGCCTTCCGTCGAGGGAACCACTCTCGCCAGGACGCCTTGCTCCGGGCGATTTCGTCTTTCAAACGTGCCGGAGCAGTGCGCCCTGCTACTACTGGGCTAAGTTGTAGTTGGGGACGCCTGGTGTGCTCCATTAAGCTGAGCAGGAGTTGCAGCCCTGTGTTATCAAGGTACTCGGTTAGGAGATGCACTATCTTCGACGACGCCAGGAGTTACCTTTGACCGAAGCAGATATCGTAAGTGAAATTCTTTGCAAAAGCGTCCTCGAGGATTTTAAGCTAGGCTGGAGTGCATATCAATTTCGTTCGGGGTGTTCGCTTCTCGCCAAGTCCGGCGTTACGGCTTTTAAAGGAATTGGTCTCGTGCCCGGTCCGCACCCGGACAACTGGGAATGTGACATTTCGCCGCACTCAAACTCGACGCGCGACTCTTCGCCGCGAACACATTTCGCCCCCGGACATTCAGTCGCTGGGACACTTCGGTTTGGAACACTATCCTTCGAGACATTTTACATTTGCGACATTTGACGCAAGACGTTGGCGGACAATTCGCCTTGGGAATTTTCGAACGATGCGACTAATCGCCGCAAAATAATTCACCGCGCTTAATTAATCCTTACTAGATTTTCAGTTTTTTAGACTTGTTCTTAGTTTTTTCTGGGTTTTCTTAGTCTTTCTTCGAATTTCTTTGGTCTTCTTAAGCTTTCTTAAATTTTCTTAGATTTCTTAGGTTTCTTGCTACGAAATTTCCTTGCGTCGAAGCGGATGTGAGGAGAGAAGCGGCTCACGTACAGCGACAAAATCTTTCAAATCATTTCAACGTATTGCGCCGTGGTGCAGTGGTACTGCCTACGCGGATCTAACGACGTAGCCGGGGTTCGATTCCCCAATCAGCGCCTTTTTCAGGCGTTTCTCGGTTTCCCTCGGATTACGCCCTGCTGATTCGGCCATGCGACGGAAAGTCGCGCGGCGTTAATTCCTACGGACGGAATGCCCTGCGACGAAACGTCGGGCGGCGAGATGGCCTTGCAGTGAAATGTCTGCGACCAAACGGCTTGCGACCAGTTGTCCGCGGTGAAATGTCGCGGTGCCCTGCCCGGTCACCTTGAAACTGTTGCAAGCAGCACGAGCCGTTTCGTTAACACGTTTCGCCGCAGCATCGTTGTAAACGTCCAACTGACCAATCTTAAGAACGCTACAAATAAGCAACGGTACGAGACTAGTGAGTACGCTGGCTGCAGCGTAACGAAGACGCGCCTTCCAGAAGCGGTTACGTTAGACTCAGTTAGAGTGCAAAGTAGTGTGAGCTGCTAGAGCTACGAGTATAGTTCTAACCGCAGACAAAAATTCTCATTTCACTCCATTATTTTAAATTTTCCGCAGCTTTCTGTTTACTTTGCTGTTTTTCCACTCTCTTTGCAGTGTTTAATATTGAAAACCTTGCCGTTGTCCATACCCCCAGCATAGTGTGTGTCTTTCTGGACAGATTGATGAGAAATGCACTTGTACGAGAATGCTGAGCGTGCGATGTACGCATGGAACGCTGTGGATGTAGAGGTTAGTGGTCTGCTGCAGCACAGCCACATCATCGGCCTGGAAGAGAAGCCAGAGAACGACAACACTCCGTCGCACCTGATCGTCGACTTTGGTGGCCCGGTTGAACATTTCATGCTGGTGGAATCCGGGACAGTTCTTGATTGCTCAAACTATCGAGGGAAGGAGCCACGCGAGGTCGTCACTGTGTGGGTGCTGCTGCACGATAGCCTGAATCGCTCCTGGAAGTGGTATCCCGGGAAACTCTTGACATACCGCTTCAAGCAGCTGCACAATATGGCGCTGGTTGAAGTGATGATAGGCGGACAGTGTCGTCTCGAGCTGCTTCCCCACCGACAGATTCGAGAATCCTCAGGAGACGTTGTCAAGCCAGAACTCCTTCCAGTGGCTCATTTCGCAAGGCAGGCTCTCGATGTGCCTAACGGGAACTGGCCACTGCTGTCGTCTGCAGACTCTGCATCGGAGTGGCTGATGGGCCAAGTTGAGCAGAAGCTGCACCTGCGCGTTCTCACAGTTCCCTGTCAAACAAAGCACTATTTTCGACGACGACAGGTGCTACTTTTGACGAACTACGTTACGGTAAGAGTCATACCCTAGTGATTGCAGCTCTCTGTCCAAATATTTTGTTTGGCCAAATTTTTATCTGTGTCGAATACTCGCATGGTCATTCACTCTAACCGTAGACCTTTTATTCGAACGAAAAGAAAATTTCTACCTCAAATTACTGATGATAAGCTTCCGATTTCAGAAAAACAACGAGTTGCGGGCTGAGACAATTCGCAAGAAGCTGCGGAGTGTTGGCGAAGACTGTTTGGCTTTGCCACTGGAAGTTCTGAGGGAAGTCTTCCACTCCCTGGACACCATCGATCGACAGCGATGCCGTCGCACCTGCCAGCTGTGGGACGCCCTCCTCACGTCGCCGGAGCTGTGCCGAGAAGTGCATTTAACGGAGACACTGGCCAGTTCTTCGCTGCCCGCGCAGTGGAGTTCAGAATTTGTCCTGTACGCCTGTATCTTCAAACTCATCGGGCCCGTCACTCGCACCATGTGCTTCCGCGGCACAAGCTCTCAGAAGCTTCCCTGGAGGCTGCACGGCGAGGCGCTGGATCTTATTAGCAAAGCGTTGGCCGCCGCCGGCACACGACTCGATCGGTTCATTGTGTTCCAGCGCTCGATTCATGTCTCTTCATCCGGTATTTCTTCTGATCGATGGAATTTGAGCGTGTTTTGCACCAAGATCGCCGCGAGCGTGTCCAAGCTGTTGCCTAGCTGTGATCGTGTGATTTGGAAGGATTGTATCCTCACCGACAAGGAAGTTGCTCTCTTGATGAAGTTCCGCATTCCCGCTGCCGTCTTCACGCCGGGGCATGCCGATGCCGCCCACATTGCGGACCTGTTGGAGCAGCACCTGTATTGCGAAGGACAACCGTTGAAGGTGCGGCACATCACTCGCTTCTTTGCCGGTCATGTCGACGGCGCAACAACGGCCAGGAGAGTGATGCAGGTATGCATTGATGTGGCACTGAGTAGCATTTTGATCAATACTGTACTAGTATTGAGAAACAATCGCAATGTTTCTCACCTTTTTCCAATTTGAGGGTAGCAACACTTGAACAAGTCTCGAAATTTTGTTTGAAAATTTTTGTATATTATGACACTTTGAATTACTGCAACAATGTTTGGTGGTGTAGTGTTGAAACCGTCTTTAAATTTGTACGCGCTTTAACAAAGTGTGGTGTTGTTAACCGGATGAATCAACCTACAGATTCTGGAAGACTTCCAACACTGCGATCCACCTCCGTCGGCACATTACCGGGGGCGCCAGTGGAGTGCGGACCACGTGAACGAAGTTGATCTGACCAAAGTGAACCGGTTCTGCTTATACGCCTTGTCGCAGCACATGTCCAGCATCCAGAATGGCAGCCCACCCGCTGAGTAATCCAGCCACCACAGCAGTGTTTCCAGTAACGGCGAGTCTGAGCAGGAAGTGTGAAATGGTAATGACTTAACAAAGATATAAATTTAGGTACACCCTTGAATTTAGTACACTAAGTTCTCCAGTGATGCATTATTGGTTAAGGAAGTTTTCATGCTATGCCTCTGTTATGATTCACATTGACGCCAAGTTGTAAGTGTCTGTTGCCACGTGCACGACACACGAGGCCCTTCGCTTAATTAATTTCTCATAGTAAGCCTGACTGTCTTCCACCGGTTTGAATCAATGTACTATTTTCTTAAATTTGAATGATATGACCCAGACAAATACGATTAAATACTGTACCATGGTATAATTATCATCAGACTTCGGTTATTTCATAAAGTTGTTTATTATATGGGAGGCAGACTGGTCCGCTCTTTACACGTGCAGTTTTTATAAAATCGCCAGCAATTGCTAACCAGAATAATTATGTCTGATTTTATTCTTGTGATTTAATAAACCAAGTACATATCTCTACGTCTACGGTATATAGATAGAGGTGCCTATAAGTACGTCTACGGCATACCCGATGAAACTGTACCTTCGTTATAATTTGCATTGGTATGTGTTAAATTGTGGTAGAGGTGAATTCTTACCTTTGACGTTGCTTTGTTAAAGGATTTGGCCCGGTACATAGCACTAAATTCGGGTACGTTGACGGGAATATTCGCTTGCGCGCACTTCCGAACACTATTTGGGTTGATTTTTGACATTGTGTACTGCGTCACTGACGTACGGACAACGGTACTCGTACTAGTACCATCCGTATTACCAGTGGTAGCCATTATTCCAGATTAAAAACTTTTCAAAATTGCTATCATCCTTCACGCCAATGTGAAGTATCTAATAATACTTTATTAGATGTGTACAGTAAGACGACTGATGATAGACTAAATATAAAAGTGAGTAAACATACAGACGATCTCTCAGAGATATTGCAACGTTGTTAGGCTCATATTAAGTACTACAGTACTTAAAAGTACATACACTACAGTTGGTCACGGCGAGTTCGAGGGGTAGGGCTGAGGACAAGACTAGTGGATTTCCTACTTATTTATGGGCATTGAGAAATCTATGGGTAAAAAATTCTAAAAAATTGTGGACCTTACCGAAATCCATGGGGTGTACTAACGGATGAAAATAAACGTTAATTATTTATTCGTATTTAAATAAATTTTGACGATTGTTGTTGGAACCACTTGCCAGATTGTAGATTGTAACTTCGTACTGCGTGCTTAAATTAAATCAGTTAAAATTTAAAATAGTAGTAGGCCAAAGCCAGTGGACACTTTGGCTGTTCTTAAATCTGTGTTTCAAATGAAGAATGATTAAGACTTGTCATCATTGAAATCCCGCATAATGTTACGGTCCTACCATAGGTTCGTGTCTTTGAAAGAAAAGCAAATCATCCAGCAATTCAACCTGAGTTTCTCAAGGAAAACGAAAAGCTGCAGCGGAACGAGCAGCTGGGTATCGGGGAACGCGGTTTGGCGATGCCGTTTGAAGTGCTGAAGGAGATCGTCCACTCACTGGACACCGTGGAGCGACAGCGCTGCCGCCGCACCTGTCAGCTGTGGGAAGCCCTTCTCACGTCGGCGGAACTGTGCAGCGAGGTGCGAGCTTCGCGCGCGCGTCCTTCACGCCACAGACAGTGGGATGGTGATTACCTCATGTACGCCTGATTCTTCAAGCACATCACGCTCTCCACCCGCACCATCAGTATTCGCAATGCTCCTGGGCCGGATGGCGTTAAGGGGAACATGGGCGGACTCGATGTAGTGCTGGAGGAACTGACGACGATGGTCTGCAAGGACAACGGCGTCCCTGCTGCACCAGCCGAAGCGAACGATCGTCATCCGGCACTCGAGAACGGAGCCATGGAAACTGAATACGCTGGCGATAGCGATTGCTGCACTCCTGGCCCACTTGGAGTCGTGTTGGGATCAGCTGATTTTGACAGTGAAGCAGTAGGTCCTCCGATCAGTCCTAATCCTCGTTTTACTAGGTACACACTCTTTCCAGCACGGAAACAGGTCTTTGCTTTGTTCGTTACTGTACACATTTCTTCTGATTATAAGATATTGCAGTTATGTGCTGCTGCTGTTTCGGTTTTTCCTCTTATAGGATTCTGTTACTTTTCTTCACTGCTTTATTCCATGAAATCGTAAAAGCCGAAATTGCAAATAAATAAATTTTCACCTGAGTCTTGCGGCGCTGGCAGCAATTACGACCGCCCCGATCTGCGGGAACGTAATCTAGTTTTGATCATGCAGCGAAAATCGAACGTGTACTGGTCGGCGTGGACGTGCGACAGTTGAAAAAGTTCTGCCTGTATGCCTTAGCGCGTTGCATGCGGTATTGGAATAAAGCGGCCGCGGATGACAGCGATTTGCTATCCAGTAATTCCGGCAGCGAGTCCAGCAACGACGCATTTTCGAAATTCGATTCCGATTCCGAAAAGTAACTGGCGCCCGAATTATGTTTATTGTTGAATGATTTATGAGTGAAATGAGGTGTTCAGGTTTGGTTTTGTCTGATGGTGTGAGAAGACAAAAACAAAATGGAGGGCAGGCGATGGTACTGGTGTCCATGCATAAAACCAAAAACCCGCTGAACAAAAATCTTATTTATTTAACAATTTTCAAAAAGCCTTTCAAATATTATGCGGGAAAAAGTGGAAAGCACGGACACTTACGTAAACCATCGCCTGTGCATAAAATTATAAAAAAAAGAGCAAGTTACATTCATGTAAAATCAGTGCATATGCAGAAACTTTTTCGACCAGTTCAGTTCTTTCCATTTAACGCTTTCCAACGCTTTGGAAAACGTTCGGACAGATTTGTAGGAGGATGGTGGAAAGGAGAGTTCATTCCAGAGAGACGTCAGTCTGTCGCTGAAGGAGCCGGTAACGGGGGTTAAGGTCGTAACTTCAAACTTTCCACTTGATTTTCGCGCTGAGATTAGTGAAAGTTGCAAGAAAATTAGAGAATCATCAATTATTCCGCTGGAAGAATTATCGCAAACTAAGTTCGAGGGCGGAGTTCTGCAGTGCACCGCACAGGAAGAATGGGAAGCGCAATAGACTGAATTCTAAACCTCGGCTTTTTCAGCATCAGTTACGGCGACTGTACCGTTGTCAGTTTTTAGGGGAGGGATACATTGAACGCCGTTCCTGGATTTCATGAAGCGCCAAAATTTTATTGGATTATTTCGATAACTTTTTTGCAATATCCGTTATGCGGTGGCTTTCAAACTGTCTTACGACATCTTCAGCTTTTTTCGACAACTGAAGCCATTTGTCTTTCCTTAACGAACACAAAGACGAAACTGTAAAACGGTAGCGCTTGAAAGCTTTGTCACGCGCACTAATCACTTTCTTTACGGCTAGTGGGTACACAGGCGCACCGGCTTTTACATTAACAGTTTTGTAAGAAAACACTGACTTTGCAACATTCAAAAATTTTTGTTCAAAAATTTCAGCTCGATCGTTAGCAGAAATACCATTAAATTCTGTTATCCAGTCAATATTACTAATGTTTTGTTTAAAAGCGAAAAATTTATCAGGCGTTATTATCCATTTATTAACTTTTCGCGCTCTGGTCATCTGTCTTTTCGATCTCATGTCCATTTGCAGGCCCACATGATCGTTCGAAATAGAGGGGGAGCGATGGCGCACACGTTTTTGCACGATGTTTTCGTCGAGACCAGACAGAGATCGAGACAATTGCGTTTTCTCGTGGGAAAGTTAATCAGTTGTTAGAAATCAAAGACGTTAAAGCAGCAAGATAAGAAGTACCGACCACCAGCTGTAGCAGCGTCAACAAATGCTGCGCGCGTTATTTTGAAAAAAATTTCATAAGTTCTCGTAAATGCTGTTACCATAAGCGTTTTCTGTGTTGGGATGTAGCAACGGTCAGTGAACAACCATGGCGTCATCTTGTATGAAGGATGAGTTGCATACTGACCCGATAGTGAAAATTTGAGCTGATAGTACTGTTGCGTACCAGTGAGGGTGCAAATGCGGCCGCCGGCGTCGTCCAGGACCGTTTGATGATGCTTCATCGTCAAGGACAGCGCCGCGAAAGCAAAAGATACGAGTGGCGGGTGTGACGTCCTTGAAGAAGAAGCTGTGCAGAGTGCAGTTACGATCCCACTTGACGCGAGGGAAGAACTGGACTGCTGCCGTAACACTCGCACCTCGCAGCATAGTTCCCTCGACGTGAGACGGGCGTTTCTAGTGGACGCGGCGACAGCGTAGGCGGTCTACAGTGTACAAGCCGATCCGGATGATGAGCATGATAGAGAACTGCCAAAAAAGTGTATTCATGAGTTACGCTAGACAACATAGTACGCCACGCCACACTGTTTAAACAACATGCGTTTCGCTGGCTGGTGGCCTGGTGCACGCAATATATTTATTGAGTATAATTGTAAATGCCTGGCGGAAGATGACTAGCAAACGGTCGGTGTAATGGCCAATCTAACCGCGTAGCGCATTTACACATTGCGACAAACGTAGTGTAGTGGCCATCGTGCTAACAATATAATCGCTAGCATCGGGCTCAGTATTATTAGTGCATTAGCGCTGCAACTTGTAGGTGTACAAATTAAGCATGCATACATACAACTAACGTTAGAACCGCCTAAAACTGGCTTGTATGTATGGGTAAAAACATGTTTGAACGCGCTGGTGTGCGGCATGGCTAGCCAGTAGCCACCCCACATGCACACATAAAAGTAGCCGATCCAGCTGCCAGTCGATCTCGAAATTTCAAACGCTCGTGTTTCGTTTGCTTCTCAACGGGTCTTCCCAATCGACATATCAGAAGATGTAGAATTAAATTTCAAACTTTTTGATACCTAACAAGTGGATATTTATGGCGAATCAAGAAAGTTATGACTGTTTCGGTTTCTCGTAGACATAGCATAGGCTCGTGCAAGGAGGCGTTGCTTGCATCCTGTGTTAAGTTTACGAGAAACAAAACAGTCATAACTTTCTTGATTCGCCATAAATATCCACTTGTTAGGTATCAAAAAGTTTGAAATTTAATTCTACATCTTCTGATATGTCGATTGGAAAGATCCGTTGAGAGATATACGAAAGACGAGTGTTTGAAATTTCGAGGATGACTGGCAGCTGGATCGGCTACTTGGATGTATGCATGCAAAGGGGTGGAGTTACAGGCATACACGTAAGGGTCTTACGTGGATGGATTTTTGGCACCGCCTTCACACACGCGCATACATCTAATTTTCGCGGCAGCGAATCGCCGCGTTGTGGGTTCGGTCATGACGGAACTTGTATAGATGATTTTTACTTGTCGGCCATACAACTAACCAACGCACACGGCCTATTATGCCTTAGCGTACCTTTAAGTGCTCATCATCCGGACCGGCTTGTACGAGTGATCATCGTAGGGACTAGTTTTCTGACGCTTTACAGTATGGCTCCGTAAGCCAAGCGGCTATTTCACTGGATGGACATTCATTTGTTGAGGTTGGTGACTGGTCGCTAAAAATGTACAGTATGCAGTGCGACTGGTACTGTACGATTGTACGAGTACTGAAGTAGTATGAAGTAGTAGAAGTGGTGAATATGACCGTTTGCTCAGGACCATCGAAATACAGCTAGCTGCCTTTAGTGCTTTCGATCATTGCCCGATTAATTTTGATTTGCAAAAGTACTTTCCACTGCTGGTTTCTGCTTTTGGCGAAAAAGGAGCAGATTTTCTTTTCCCGTACTGTTGGCAGTGTACCCGATTATAAGGACTCCCATTCTTGACTTCTGCCTCTTAGTGCTCAAGCTTACAAACAACTATGCACCTATACGAAAATGCCGAACGATCGGTATACGCCTGGAACGCCGTGGATGTGGAGGTTAACGGTCAACTGCAGCATGGGCACGTCATCGGCCTGGAAGAGAACGACAGCGCACCGTCGCGTCTGATCGTGGATTTCGGATGCCCATCAAAGCGAGCGGTACAGGTGCCTTACGGAATGATCTGGGATTGCTCCGACGAACGTTCTAGCAGCGACACCGTGGGGGCCCCCGTGGAGGTGCTGTTGCACAACGGAGCGGATGAAGCGTGGAAATGGTGTCCCGGGAAAATACTGATTGGCTGCCTCAATCACCTGAAGGACATGGCGCTGGTGGAGGTGACGATGGGAGAGTCGTCTCGTCGCGAACTGCTTCCCCGCCGACAGATTCGGGAATCTCCAGGAGATGCCGTCAAGTCACAACTGCTAACAGCGGGACACTTTGTCGTGCGGACCTGTAGCGTGCCTAACGGTTACTGGGCTTTACAACCGTCGATCGCGGCGTTTCTGCTCCGACAAGTTGAGAAGAATTTGAAGCTGCGATTTGTTACGGTGCTCAGTCAGACGATGCTGTATGTGTCACGGAGCCACGGGTCACGTTCGCGCGATGAAAACGGACTAATTGTAAGTCGCGGTTAGGGAATCGCTGTTTAATCGACGTCTTTTTTAGGATGTTAGGTATATAATTATGT